CTGGCATGTGGTGCTGGGGGATTGAACCGCGGTCCCTGTGTTTTGCTTAGCTTAGCTTGTTCTAAGTAGGTGCTTTAGACCACTGAGCCATCTCACCAGCCCATGTTAGTGTTCTTTAGCAAGGTAAATCAGATGGCTTCTCTTTTTTTTTTTTTTTTGGCGGAACCACGGATTGAACTAAAGCCCTTGTGCTTGCCAGGGAAGTACTTATTCCACTGAACCATCTCCCCGGCCCCCAAGGGCATTCTCCTACTGAACTATATCCCCAAACCTTGAAGAATTTTTGTTATTATTGTTCTTTTTGAGATAGTGCCTTGCTAAATGGCCCACTTGGGATTCAAATTTGGAACCCTTCTGCCTTAGCCTTCTGCTGGGATTACACTCATGGACCACCACAACTGGCTAATGAGTGTTTTAAGTTAAAATAAGAAAGAAGGGGGGGAAGATAGATCAGTAGAATAAGCGCTTGCCTAGCAAGCGCAAGGGCCTATGCTCAATTCCCGGTTCTGCAAAAAAAAAAAAAAAAGAGAGAGAGAAAGAAAAAGAGGGGCCAGGGAGCTGGCTCCGTGGAATAAGCACTTGCCTGGCAAGCGCAGTGGCCTGAGTTCAATTCCCGGTTCTAGGAAAAAAAAAAAAAAAAAAAAAAAAGAAAGAAAGAAAAGAAAAAGAAAGAGGGCCGGGGAGATGGCTCAGTGGAATAAGTGCTTCCTTGGCAAGCGCAAGGACCTGAGTTCAATCCCCGGTTCCGCAAAAAAAGAAAAAAGAAAAGAAAGAAACTAAAAGGAAAAAGAAAAAAGAAAACCTTGATCAAGGATGTAGCTCAGGGGCCAGGGAGACGGCTCAGTGGAACAAGCGTTTCCACGGCATGCGCAAGGTCCTGAGTTCAATCCTCGGTTCTGCCAAAAAAAAAAAAAAAAAAAAGGATGTAGCTCAGTGGCAGAGTACTTGCCTGGCAAGCTTGAATTCCTGAGTTGGATTCCGTGTGTGTGTGTGTGTGTGTGTGTGTGTGTGTGTGAGAGAGAGAGAGAGAGAGAGAGAGAGAGACTCATTAAAAGGCAACCTAAAGAAAGAAAAAAGGCACTTTCTAGTCATAATGCCAAAGGGTCTGAGATTTTTATTTACTCATTTATGTACTTATTTCATGCATGTTTGCAATTTAGGGGATTGGTATGTATTTACAGTCTATCTTCATCATTTCTAATCCCTTTATACTCTACTACCCCCCACCCTGCCATACCTTTGACCAAGATTTATATTTAAACCAGCATTGTAGGTGATGATTCATTGAAATATCAGGCACCAAGAGAATATCTTTTTTTTTTTTTTGCAGAACCAGGGATTGAACTCAGGCCCTTGTGCTTGCCAGGCAAGCACTTATTCTACTGAGCTAACTCCTTAGCCCCGAGAATATCTTAAAGCAAGAAAACCAGTGTTGTGCTTGGTGGCTCAGGCATGTAATCCTAGCACTTTGAAAGCCTGAAGCAGGAGCATTCCAGATTGGAGCCCAGTTTGGGCAATGTGGCAATTTAGTGAAACCCTTCCTCAAAATAAAGGGGCCAGGGAGATAGCTCAGTAGAATAAGTGTTAGCTTGGCAAATGCAAGGGCCTGAGTTCAATCCCTGATTCCGCCTAAATAAATAAATAAATAGTAAAATAAACTGTGTGAAAGTGCTTGGATCTAGTTCAGTGGAAAGACTTTTGTTCAATCCCTAGTACCATAGTCACAAAAAAGAGACAACCAAAAAGAGAGAGAGAGAGGGAGGGAGGGAGGGAGGGAGGGAGACAGAGAGAGACAGAGAGAGAGAGAGAGAGAGAGAGAGAGAGAGAGAGTGAGAGAGAGAGAAATAACCAGTAATCAATTAGGTGGGCAATGCACAATTCTGGGGAGAACTGCGCTGCACCAGATCAAATATGGCTGATTATTCTGCCTACTTTGGCCTGTCTCACACTAAGGCCTTCAGCTTCCTCATGGAGAACTAGAAAGAGTCCCTGAAATGCTCCATCCCAGGCCAGGTGTGGTGGTGAATACCTGTAACTACCAGCACTTGGGAGGCTGAGGCAGGAGGATCACTGCAAAACCAGCCTAGGCTACATAGAGAGTTCAGGCCAGCCTAAACTACACAGACCCTGTCTCAGAAAAAAACAAAAAGCAAGCAAACCAAAAAGCTAGTCCAAAGCCAGAGGCTACAGGAAAGTAGACAGATTTGGTAGGTAATACATTTAGAATGGTTGGGAGGAAGTGCTTTGGACTTGTAACTATTGTAATGGTGTGTCATCTGGTGTAAGAATCTGTACCAGGAAGAATTAAGGTCATGAAAGGTAAAAAGAAGTGTTTTGGTTGAGATTTTCTGAGTTTGCAGTGTGTCTAGATATCCAAATAGATCCGAGTAGAGATGTTCAAAGTCAGCAGCTCGGGGGCCGGGGAGATGGCTCATTAGAAAAAGCACTTCCCTGGCAAGCACAAGGGCCTGAGTTCAATCCCCAGTTCCGCAAAAAAAAAAAAAAAAAAAAAAAAAAAAAAAACAAAAAAAAAAAAAAAACACAAAGTCAGCAGCTCAAAGTAAGATCTGGACTAGATATACAGATTTGAGAATCAGTAGCTAATAGTAATTGAAATGGGGGAAATCATCCCAGGAGAGGAAATGTAGAAGAGTCTAGAACAAAACCTCAAAGAACAGGTAGGGAGAGAGTTAAAAAAAAAGGGGGCCCAGCCCTAGCTCAGCTCTTTAAGTGGCTGCTTCCACAATGCTGGCAGCCTCAGTTTGCTGTAGTTCGATCCCCACAACACTCCAGCCATGCAAAAGTGCCCTGAAGGCATTCA